CTAGTTCAATGGTAGTGGACAGTAAGGATGCTTTACAGAATGTCTATCAAAGCTTTTAAGATTGACTACAGAATGATCAAAATGGCAGCAATCTATTCTTCATGGTTCAATTTGAATCGTACACCCGACTATTTTGCGAACAGCAATGTTGGATCATTACACCTGGAGAACTTAATATAACAGGTGGGTGTGGGTGTGGGTGTAGGTGTGAGTATGGGTGTGAGTCTTTTTTTAAACTTCATCCATACCCACACCCACACCCACAAGGAACATAATATCGTGCAAAGACCATATGTTGGTGACAAGAGAAAAATTTTATCTCTCGTTCTTAATTTGTAAAATGAAAAACAGAAAAATAAAAACATAAATGTTCGGAAAAAAATTTTGACTGCATGTAATTCATCATGTGTTCTTCACTCGCACCCATACGCATAATTGATTGTAAGTAAAGCAAAACAAAGTAGAACATTTTGTTAAGAGAATAAGCGGTAAAATACAATCGAAGATAATGTGGCTAAACAATAGCAAGATTCTTGATGAATCCGAAGTAGTACTGGATATAGGGAACTGCGTAACCGACTTTTTTTGGTCACGGTCACGAGAAAAGTTTTTACTAGTCACAGTCACGGTAACATGGTCACGGTGGAATTTTTAAAATGTGCGCTATATTTATTTAGAGAGGCATGGAACATCTATCGATCTAACAGTGGTGATGATTACGATGACTTGGCTAATATTCATGACAATATAATGTCATGGAACCATTTGGTGTCGATTGTTTTGATATAGATTAGAAATTTCTAAGTTTTTTGTTAATCATGTTTTTGTATTTAAAATATTTGAAATATATGAAAATCGAATTAAAAACAAAAATTTGAAAATACACAATTTCTAATTGCCAATCAACAGTTGTTCCGCAACCCTTAGAAAAACTTCATCAAGATCACGGCCACGCCGTGACCATTACCGCGGCGATCCCGCAGTTCCCTAACTGGATAGCCCTTTGAGGATCAGAGTACTTTATAAAGTCCACTTTTTTAAGTTTGTTAATTTTTGAATAGCTCGCGAATGCAAAAAGATATTGAGATGAAGTTTGTTCTATGACATAAGCGAGACTTCTGTGCATACATCTATATAAGAATTATAACCCAAATGTGGTCACCCAGGTGATAAGCCTGATGAGTTTTTGGCACACCACATCTAGGAGGAGTGTGGATAATGCCCTTTTGCGGTCCAAAAAACATTCCGGTTTTCCACGTTAGAATCAAGTTAGGAGTGAATTCTAATGGTATTCAAAAGGTTGATTTTGCAATAGCTCTCTATCGAATTTTGGTCCACATCCGTACTTCCCTACGGGGATGAGCAAAATAACTCTTCGCCATCTTGGTAGGGGAGTATGGGTATGGCGCGAAAAGGACTTTAAAGATTTTTTTAAAAAGTTTTGATGAAGATATCAACAATACACACTGTCCATATTAAATATAAAGTCTAAAAGAGATAGAAGGATTCTGATATTTGTTCTGAAAACTTATTGTATCTTTCTTGAATTCTATTCGAATACGATTGATTTCTGCAGATCTTTTTACTTTATTCAAGTACATTGTTAAGGTCGGTATGAAGGATGAGCACATTCCTCTAAACAACAAAACTGTTATTTGTTCGATCTACATAAGATTATTTATATCTGTGTCTAAACAATAATCGCATTTGATATACTATTAATTCTTTCTGGCGATTTTCGAACATCACGCAGATCATATTGTCCGTATTACGCTATTGAACAATGAATTTTTGTACAATAAACTTGATTCATATCTTAAACGTGTGTTGTCTGGAACGTCTACATCATTGTCAAAGTAAGAAATTAGAGCATCTTATTTATATTTCATTGTAGTCCTCTCGAAATCCATTATCACAAGTCAAGAGAATCTTTTTCATTGACTTTGTAGAGAATTTCATAATGCATTTAAAAGAAACAACTCAAGACTTTATAATTTGCCCTTACTCAGATACTTATAAAATATTCGATGTTGCAATCACTTTGCTTCACTCGATATAAGTCAAAAAGGCCACATAGGCTGCTTCTCAATGTTTGTTACATTAAACTGATCGCGTCGAGTTAGTATTCATCTTACTGTAGTTTTATTTGAGACAAGAGAAGCTGCAAGAAATGTTATATTAAAAAACAAGAAATTCACAAAATAAAAAAGTTGACAATTATAAATTTAATGCTCAGGCAAGAATTATCTCTTTTATTGTGATACATTGATAATATTTATTTCTTATGAAACATATCTCGAGATAATTGTTTTCTAATGAAAATTATTAAAACATATATGTATAAGATGGATAAAAATGCTTTTCCAGGAGATAACCTAATGATTTCAAAGAATATGAACAACAAATTTTATACCAAATTAAAGCATGTCGAAAATGGAACTTACCAATGCTAAACAGGAAGAATTATGGAAACTTTTCAGTGTCAAATTCAGGAAATTCCTGAAATTTTACGACATATTAAAGGAGAGAAATTCCTTTCATGAGGTAATTTAAAGTGATCTGGAAATATTTGAACAATAATCAAAAATGAAGCTAAAGAAAATTTCTATCAGAGACGGAACATAATTATTATGATGAAGTAGCTCTAAAAAAGAAAACATATTTCATATATTTTGACAAACATGGAAATAAACACTGATCTATTTGAAATTATTTTACGTTCGTATGCGTCACATCTTCCTGCTGTAAAAACGCTAATGGTCATCATACTGATTAGTGATTATATTCATCAAATCTTAAAAAAGAATTATCACTTTTTGATATTAATCATTTTATATGAGATCTAGCTTGAACTGTCTCATGAAAGGAATTTTTCTGTCATGATATGACGTAAAATTTTAGAAACTTTCTGAATTCGACACTGAAAAGTTGCTATAATCCTCACTATGCAGTATATACGAGCAGATATTATTCATATCTTGAATGCTTTACCAATCCATCAAAAGTACAAGTAATTATAGTCGTATGAATATTATAAGAAAAGATAAGCAGTTATGTATCCAATCCTTGATTTGAACACAAATTTGTCCACTTTTTCAGTTTCGATTCATTTCTATCATTTAATACTTTTTACTGAAAATTTTTCTATATTTCTTGTAACTATCATTGAATACAAAAGAAAACCGATTTACAGTCTGTTCATTTGTTTCCAATGATCACTCGCTGACACTATACTTCAAACTTTAACAAATACATGAAAATCATTCGTTCTTATGTAAGATTCGTTGAAAATGAAAAACAGACAGTTAATGTCAATGTGTACGAATTAAACTTCATTCATGCTCGATTCGAAAAACAAGCATTATTTTTTCTTCTTCTCATAAATAGCTATATTGACTAGCTGTACTTTTCTTTTCCTTGTCACATTGATTTATATGAATATGAATTGACATTGATTCATTTTATCAATAAGCAATAGTAATGAAAGAGAAAAACAAGCGAAACATATATATATATAGTTTTTAATCACATATTTTTATCTCTTATTATTCGCATTTTGTAAATATGTCAAGTAAAAAAAACTTGTTACTTTTGATTGAAATTTATAAGTAAAATAGTGTCTATTTTTATAGATTTAAATGTAATCAAATTAGAAGCAGAGTCACCAGTGACACTTGATTTAAGACATGATTGTATAGGTGTGTTCTATGATGAAAATGGCAACGTTTCATCTGCACCAACAATCGCTTATATATATGACATTGCTTTTTTTTATAAAAGCCTTTTTTCTAATAAAAATATATATTCATGCTCAAACATAGATAGTAGTTAACACATTGCCAGTTATTTATATTTTCAAACTCATTAAATGCACCAAAATCAATCGAGAATAAAAGTCATTGGTCAATAATTATTCAATACTATCGTATTCATCATAGACTTTACTTATTTCTAACATATGGATTTTGACATAAACCATCTTTATATCTTTTATAATACAAATAGAAATGTTCGCCAGTATTTAACATAACATTCATATGGTATAAATTGTATCAGCTATATTTAAAAAAAGAAACAAATAAAACGACAGATTAGAAATATTTTGTACAATCATAATTGTTTTAACTTGAAAATCGAAGCATACATTTATCTGACGACATTGGATAAATTCTAAAAATTATCCATATTTGATGATATATGATTAAAAAAAATGATTGATGCTAGACTGTTTACTTTACTTACTAATCTCCTGTAGATGTACAATACACCAAGAATCATATTTTAATACTTCGTTCGTTAACGATTTCTTGTTTCTTTGGTTTATTAAAACTAAAAATTTCTCTATGATAATTTCTTTCAATTATATCTATTGAATCTTCTTTTTAAATAGAGATAAATGATTTTGTAAAACCTAAACAACAGTATCATTAACAATTTATGATCAGATTTCAGATATTTCATCTTGTCTAGTGTTTTGAACATTGTGATACTATTTTTCAACTTAATATAGAACTCATCATTATATTTTTAAATTTCTTTATATCACTGATATTATTGAAAACCTAAGACGACATTTACAGTAAAAAATAACGATCCAAAAACATAGTATCGATTATTTGAATGTTCGATTGATCGATCCGATTGTTGAAAAAATAGAACTGACAAATTTTCTGTATGACAATACTGATTTAATAGTGAATACATTTTGATCGAAGACTGTCGAAAATGTAACACCTTCCTCTCCAACCGTGGAAATTTTCTATTTTTTCACATCCGAGCTGATATTTCTTTTTTGCGTTCTGTTAGAAGAAAGATACTCTTCCTTTGCAAAAAAAGCTGCGACACCCCCTCTCAATGTTGACTGCGTTGAATCACCACTGCATATACGTAACATTAAATATGTAAAGAAAAAAATATTTTTTTTTATCGATCATCCATATATAAAGAACGTGGTTAGTGTAGCCAAAATTACCATTTCACATCGTTTACAGTACATAAATATGTCAAATCTTCAATCGTGGCCTGATCTGGTTGGTGAGTCAGTTGATCAAGCTGTTGCAGTAATTAAAAGTCAAAATCCGCGTAAGAAAAAAAAATTATAGCTTTTTATTTAAGTTTTAACGTTAAAAATGTACGTCTTTTATAGATTTGAATGTGATTCCAGTACCAGAAAATTCACCGGTAACAATGGATTTTCGACAGGATCGTGTACGTGTCTTCTTTGATAATTATAACCAAGTTTCATCGGCACCAAGAGTTGGTTAAATAAGAAAAAAACATTTGAATAAAATTTTTTTTTTAATAAGAATAAATATTCAAGTCGAAAATTTATCGACTGTAATACACAGAAATATTCTTTTCTTTTATCTATAAAACATTAAAGAAAACAACACTTTGTATTTTTTCTTTTCAATTCTTAAATTAACAATCGTTAATGTATCTAATATGGAAAAATCTGTTATGAACAGAAGTCATTGACAAATCGATACTTGAAACTGCAGCTTATGTTTACCTAAAGAAATAGATATTATGAAAATATACACAATGAGATATCTACGTATGACAAGATATATTTACAGTGATCGTATGAACAAGTTTTCTATGATACAAATATCTTTGAAATGATTAACTATGTTATAATTTCGAACAGTTCGTGTTACTGAATATGAAATAAAATAGAAACTCGACACGTTTGTATTCAATCACAGATAACTGTCGAATCATTCGTTTCAAGTTTATCTTAATAAAGATAGAAGGTAAGCTCAATATATTTTTGTCAACTATAATCGTTTTATGTGTATTCATATTTTGAATCAATTATAGTCATATTCACATTTAATTATTTAGTTGAGAGAATTTCAAGTATGTTCGGGACATAAAAAACAGTAGTACATGTTGGCCTCTGTTATTCATGATCACCATAAGTACATACTGCTTCTTTTGATTTTGAGACAGTTACTTTTATAAATATTTTATTCTGCTGAAATTATATATATTTCTTATTAATTTATTCATGTTTCAATTTGCTAACAAGCAACAATTGACCTTGAACAAATAACTTTTATATTTATTTAGTCTAAAAATAATAAATGTATGACATTACAGTCATGTTTGTTAACCAACGATTATGAATTCTTTTTAACGTAAGTAAAGTGAGCACCATATTTGGCTTTTTCCTGTTCGGATTCGTTCTATAATTTATTTCGATTTTCTAAATGGTTGTGATAGATACAGAATTTCATTTACTTGTGAATGACAGTACCCTCTTAAAAAGAGTTACTCAGTGAAATCTAGAAGTTTTGCTACAGATACTTTCTGAGTTAGGTCATTTTGAAGTTTTACTCTTGGAAACTTCCATTGGCTAATTTACATATATTGTTATTTTAGTTCATTGAACTATTTCCAATACTGAAGTTTATCTCATATACTATTTTTGTGAGACAGGAACTAAAACTTGTGTTAGAGTAGAGGGACAAGGTTCTTTGATTTTCACAGATTGTGAGAGATAGTTTGATAACGACCCATACACATAGTGTTGAGAGTATACCAGGTGTGGCAAAAGTTTTTCGATATTCTTTGTTTTGCATGTAACTCTGTTCAGAATCATGATAAAACGTTGATCTTTTTTCTCAAAACATGCGCCTTTGAATGTTTTACTTGGATCATATGACCAAATCATTATAGCTGTTTTCGCAACTATAATAGAAGCTAAAATTGAAAGCGTGTAGTAACGTGTTATTTAGTGTAAGGAAAACTAAGAGAAAGGCGAAAATTATTGAATTTTGGTTTTGATAATTATTGTTCATTCATTTTCTTTATAATTTTTGAAATCAATCCGAGATCTAGTGTGGTGTTCAAAACATGATAATTACCACTTATTATCATCTCAAATACAAGTGACAAATAACCTCTTTGTCAATTAATCTGTATGCTTCGTCCTGAACTACGACGTGTTTTTTACCATGTTGTTCTAAAATATGTCGTCGAAAAACACTGAACTCGATGCACAGATTGGTAGAACAAAGTTTGTCGATCATTGAAAGAAATAGTAAAAAAGAATTAAACTTAACAAAGTAATACAATGAAAACCTGGCTTCAACTGAAGAGGATGAAAATACATTGAGAAGAAATAATTATTAATCCCGTAGGAAGTATTGGTGAAATGATAAACGCTTTTGTTTTTTTGTTTACAATGCCTGAGACAGTTCATTTTTTCTAACATTGATTTGATTAAAAATTATCGTAGTTATCAACCACAAAATGAACTTTTCTTTGCAGGACATAACACGATGACACACATGTTCAATGCTAGTGATCTATTAAGATTTCAAAAATAGCTATAAAGATTTGGTCTTGTGATTCTAGAAGAACAGTTAATCGCGCGTCTTTTGAAAACAATGTCAACATTTTATCATGTTCCTGAACAGAGTTACATGCAAAACAAAGAATTTCAAAAACGTTTTGTCGTACCAGCTTTATATATAATATTACTTTATTTAAATAATGAAGTGTGTGATGTGTTCTCATGCTACTTTACCATGAATGAACATTGTTCCTATGACAGAAAAAGAAAAACTATACATATTACTCTGTAACGAAAAAATACATATATGAATAGGAAAAGCTAAGTCACAACAAAGTACATATTTGATTCTAAAAAATAGCATTAATAGTTTTGTGTGCACATAGAGATATAAAACAAAAAAAAGAGGGAAAAGGAACGAGTAGATAAAGAAGGATTTGGCCAAGATCAGTACAAGAAAACTAGAATACATTCATGATTACAATAATTCACTTAGAAACAAAGAACATAATCAAACAGAGAAGATTTACAACTTCTAGAACAAGTTTATTTTTATTTTTTTTGTTTCTTCTTTCTTTCTTTACAATTGCCTTTTTTTTCCTTTTAATAGTAGACGATTATTACAGTACTAATAAATGTATCACAAGTACATTGTGATTGAAGGAAATCACATAACACAAATGGATTTATTGTAAGAATAGTCATAATAATATTAGTTCAATGTATTTATGTAAACTTGTCTATTGATTTTGACTTCGGAAGATTTGAAATTTTATTCAAACTCACACATTCTTAATTTAGTTTCATACACTCGTACGTTCTTCAAATATATATTATTAATGAATTATTAGACATAAAACTCCTCAAATAATTCTCAATAAACATTTCTTCCATCAAAAGAAGAAAAAAGCAAAATATTTATTGTAAAATACGAATTAATACTTATCTACAACATAATTACATTTATCATCATATGATTTATTACAAGTTGAACATTGATGTTTTAGCAGTGCTTGTTGCAGATCTTTGTGGCTTAGCGAATGTTATAGTTCGTGAAGTTTTTAGTAATGTAGTATCTCAACAAGTATGATCGTTTGCTGAATGATGATTTTTAGATGCTTATGTTGGACGAATTGTTATTCGATCCTTGCCTACGAAGACAAAAAACAAATCGTTCTTAGAATTGAAGTAATAGAAATAACAAACCAATTATTATTTCATAATCAGATGGTGGAGAAATAGTTGACACTCGACTAGTTTATAGCTCGAGAAGAATGTGTAACAATTGATGGACATGATTACCAAATCACTGAATAAAAAGAAAAGCTTAACGAAAGGAAAAAATATTGAGTCTCTTTTTTTTTTTTTTGATTTATACATTGTTGGAATACGAGTAGAATTCGTTGATCATGATCGATCATATTGTTTAGGTGAAGATTCATTATCAAAACTCGATTGCGTAAGAGATATAACATCGGAATCAGATTTAATCCATCCATTAGCGATATAATCATTTTCACTAAAATGTAGAATGTAATTTATTGTTGTATCTGGTCTTGAATAAAATTCAAACAAAAACACAGTTGAATTCATTTTTTCAAGAGAATAAAATCTTATCTTATTTCTGTAAAAGCTTGTTGTTGTTGTTCAACAATTTCATCATTTAATAGTCACAATGATATTGATTTTGCTTTCTATAAATATAAAACTATTTAGTTTACATTATCTTTGTAATTATTTAATTAAGAAGATCACAATTCTTACACTTATGAGGGAACAGGTTCAACTGATTAGTCGCTTTTTCATTAAAAAGCTATTGAATTGTAGATAATTCCCTCATTGGTGTCTTACAATTTTAAGTTATTAAAAACAACAATATATACAAGTATGTTAAGAAAACATATGGATGTTGAAACCTGTGTCTAACATGAAGGAAGTAAAATAATGAGACACTACCCCGACATGCTTTTTTTAATGATTCTATTGGATTTATCAAGCGTTCTGGACATGCAGGTCAATATGTTTGATCTGAAGTCCTATGTGGAGGTGATGGAATTGCTTTATATTTATTATTAGTTACATTTTCTTATGGATAGGTGCAAGTCTTTTCACCACTCATATCTACTCGCCGACATCCAACCGAGACTCCAGCTATTCACACTTTCGGCCTCCGAAACAGTGCTTCATCATGAAATACCAACTGATGCACAACTCCCAGCGAATCTATATTTTGCACAAATGAATCACTTGTACTGTCCACCAATGAAAATATGCATTAATTTATTTGATGCACAAGTATCAAATATGTTAACGTATCAAAAGTCGAGTTGTATGCTAAAAAGATTCTACGCAGTAGAACAATCGATTTTCGTAAGTATGTATTGGTGGACGTTTCATGCGTATCCTCAATTCGCCTTTCCATATAGAGTTCGCCAGAAATGAATTTCATTTACTGAAAATGATAATTTATCATATAGTTTGTAAATGAAACTTTTTTCTTCAAACAGTCGAATTTCGCTTGTGATATTGCATCGAAGACAGACAATTACAAGAAAAGCAGACAACAAATGTTTTGGTTTTATTTTCTAGATAAGATCCAGTATAAGGAAGGATATAAGAATTAGAAAAGAGCATTCAAATCGATGTGTTTACATCGACACTTATCCAAATTGATATAAACATTGACATTATTTCCTGGTGAGAACAGATAATATTCAACATATAGAAAACCCTTGGTAACTTGAGCTTGGAACTGTGTGAGATAATCATCAAGTGTGTCCAGTTTGGTGTGGGTGTCACTTAAGAGGATACTAACATCCACACCCTCCATTAGATTTATCAATGTATCAGATATTTCTTTTAACAAGGATCTTATCTCTGTATCAGATTTTTCTCTCTCAAGAACATAAATGATTCATTTATATTGTTTCTCATTCGTCATCAAAATTTATTTCATCAAGGC